CTATATAGACTAAATATGCATCTGTCGATAGATGTTCACGTGAAAAGAACTGAAAATAAATTTTTTTGCGTTCTTGTTACAAAGAAAAGTACAGCCTATCTACCACCGATCCTGTTTCTTGGAAAATGTGAAGATCAGCCCAAGATTTACTGTTTATCTGATCAGTAGATAAAGACAGATTTTCTTTAAAAATTTTTGGAATTTCTAGGAAAAATCTTACAAGCCGATCTTATAAGGTCTTATAAGATTCGTATAGTAAGATTCCATAAGATTGCTATCAAACGAATCTTGTAAGATTTCCACTAGCGACTGAGATTAAGAATCATGCAAAATCTTACAGTAAGAAATTCATCAGATTTTAAACGATCTTACAGTAAGAATCGTACGATATCTTATAATCTGTAAGATCTTGTATGATCTTAATACGATTATTTGACCTGGGTAAACATCTAGGGCAAAATTAATCCAGACAAAAAAGGCTTGTTTTTTCTCAGTCTTGTACCACGTTCATCAAAGTCTAAGAAAATACACATAGTCAGGTTGACATAAATGACTTTAATTAAATACTGAAGTTTTAGACATAAAGCGTAGAGATCAAGTGGAGAAATCTTATGTCTATAATGTATTAGCGGTCAATATACAGTTCTTAAAGTAAAACTGTACAAGAATGCACAAAATACCATACACGATATCCAATACTGGTGATGATGGAATGAATTTGAAATTTTTCCTTGCAGAGCAACTCTGTATCGTTAAGCAAGTCTCAGTAATCCCACACGTAAGTCTTCATGAATGATTATTTGCTTGACTAAATAATTTTCTCGAAGTATTGTCCTTCATAGCTGCAACAACAATCATGATATAATCCATGTAAATCAGAGATCAGCACGGGCCGGACTGGGCCAGGAAATTTTATAGAGTGATCGACTTGGCCTTGGGCGGAGAATCTTTTATAGATCAATGTCTCTAGAAGTCTGCTTTGAGAAACTGAAAACTATCCGGGACATTGAAAACTACCAAGTTAACTTCCAGTTAATTGCCGGTTAACAGGCAGTTTTCTGGCCGTTTTTAGACCGTCTAGACAGATTTTAGGCAGTTTGGATGGTATGGTTTTACCACCGTACACGAATGCATTTTTTAGAATCTTTTGATCGTCATGTATCCAACCGTAATCATGAAGATGAATATATCAGAAATATTTTAGCTCGTATCAAATGTAAGGCAATAAAGTACAATATTTCATGTGATAGTACTTGATGGTGATGGTGACAAAGAAGAATATGAGGTATTAGAGCTAATGTCATACAAATATATGAATAAAATAAGCTGAAGAAGAATAAACTTTATAGTTATATATTTCTTCAAGGTTTTATTCATTTATTCAGAATATTTTAGTATTTTCTTTTACAAAAATACAACAGAATTAAGATCCTACTAATATCCGTATGTATCTAAAGACTTTGAATGATTGTCTGAAATCTTGTCTGACGGAAATACATTTTTTTTTCCATCAGTGAAGAAGCTGCTAAGAAATTTATCGTTTTCACTCGATATATAGAAAAATTTCAATTTTCAAAAGATAGTACAGTAATATATATGTGCATTTTAAAGTGATTTTGTTATTCTCTTTTAAGAATGTTCTTAATAAACAAATTTGTCGTAAGACGTGATCCATTTCTTGCTAATTATCTGTGTCTTTTTTGTATAATGCTAAATTTAAGTGTAGATATAAGTATTTGCTTTTGTAAAATATTATTTAGTATTAGAGCAAATCAAATAATTATACAAGGAATGATGTATAACATTTCCATAAAAGATAGGTATATCAATAAAACCACACCAAAGAATAAGAAAATTATAATTTAATCAATCAGTTTTGTGTTAGAAGAATGTTTAACAATGGATTAACGTTAACATAATTATCATTTTGTCCTTAGAGAGTGTTGCTGTTAGTTCCGTTTTCGTCCATAAAGTGAATGTCAGAATAAAAAATATGAGTGACAACCAGATAATCAAAGTATTGAGTAAGGCATATTGCCGAATGAACTCTCTCTTTAAATGAGAACAGGAAAGAAAATGTAACAGAAAGAGTTCTATGGCATTTTAGCGTGACTTACTAATGTTATGCTTCTTTCTGTTCCACTAAGTGTGCGATCGCAGCAATTTTAATCAGAGTATCTTTTGGTAGTTTAGTAATGGCCGTTGCGTCGTCGCTGCCAAGTAGTTGTTTAATTGTGTCTTTTAAATTTTTGTATATAGTTTGTAAATCTTCCAGCGATTTACTATTGTATTCTTGCACTTTGTTTTGAAATTCAACATTATGATCTTGAATTAGACTAGTACGACTTTTTCCGTAACAACGATTTTCGTATTCGTGATAGATCGCGCTTTGTTGGTTAAAATTGTTTCTGCGACGTGCTTCATTGTATAGAGCATTTAGTTTTAAGACACTGGATCGCCACAGATTATCGTCTGATAGGTCTAACTGCAACATTGAAGGGACATCAATCGCATTATGACGTTGTTGCGCTTGTGGTGTCGAAGATCGATGTTCTGCTTGTAAAAAAAAATCATTATCTAATTGCCCAAAATCATCGCGTCGTTTTCTAGGTTCAACTGGCCTATCACGAGCAATGAAGTCATTTTCCGCTCGTCCTCCTATTGTGCCTCCTGCTACTTGTTGTGATTGTTGTGATTGCAACAAGGAATATGCGGCAGCATTCTTTAGTAAGACATCTTTAGGTATCTGTGTGATGAGTAAGACATTGGTGTCGATAGTTTTTTCAATTTTATTCTGGAAATCCATATATTTCTCTCGAAGAATGTTGCGGTTCATCTGTCCACATTGCTGAATATATTCGGCAAAGATTTGTTGATCATCTTCACCTAATGGACCAATTGATTTACCTATTTTTTAACGAATAGACATACAGCAAACTGTAAGTTAAGTAGTTCAGCCGCTTACCTCGTGAGCGATTATTCAGTTCCTGCAGGATTAAGCTAATACTGTTAACATCATTTTGTTTAATGCAATCGTTATGTAATGCAACTAAGTTTCCTGTTGTAGTTCCACGTAGCTCACTAAGTTCAACTTTTACAGGTAGACTTCGGCTCTCTGCGGCTGATGATCTTTGTTGCATACTGACTTTAGAAGGAGGGGAACTGCTGTTGGCGAGTGGTTTACCTCCGTTTTTAATGCGTGCTATGATATCGTCAACATCAGTTTTTTGGGCGTCATCGTTATTATCTCCTTCTTCGTATTCAGGTGTTCTCGATCTTTGTTTCACTGACGGTCGTTTTGTAGGAGGTACTTTTGCCGGTTTATTTCTTCTCATCTGTTGTTTCAAGCGTTCATCCTCCTCATTGTCCTGATCTCCTTCATGGTCAGACATTTGGATTCGAGTGGCAGATGTGTACTGATCATCTACTTTCATATTGCTCTTCTTGGATTTATTTCCACCAAGAGCTTTATCGTTGTCGAACGAATCACATAAACTGATTAAACTGTTAATAAAATCTTCTGCTTGCTGTCGTGCATCGACGTTTTTTATTGACTGTCTTGACAACTGCAGTTGTTTGATCATTGACCACAGTTCGTCGACGATATTGAACCCACTACAAATTCTTTTTAACTCAATACAATTACATTTGATTTCATCGTTTTTCTGCCGCAAAGCATCGTCCAACATCTGTTTAGCTCCTTGAACTGTATTGAGTTCGTTTTCTGATGCATCTCGATTTTGCGAAGCCAAATCGTACATGGCTTTAATATCGTGTAGAACTTCATCAATTGTCTGGGTCGTAGTATGCATAGTTTTGCGACCATGATAATGTTCTTCGAATGGACAATGTCCAGAGCAGATAGTGCAAGTGCCGTTATTCATAGCAGCACAACCAGCCAGTTCGCCATCACCTTTTACATATGTCTCTTCTAACCTACAATTGTCATGACAGACAAGATCACATCTCGAGCAAATTGTGCTGTGATAATCGGCATCAACAAGTTTTGGCACACTGATGACGTTCTGTTTTGTGTAGTCTTTGTACTTATCCTGATCATCGCCGAAGGACTTCAAAGCTTTTTCCAATGCTGCAATTTGGTCTTGCATCTTTTGAATATTTTCTACTTCTAGCCGAGCTTCATGCATCAAGGACTTAATAGCATGACGTATGTTTTTCATTTCGGTGAATGCTTGAACTGATTTAACCTGAAACGTATCGATAAGACCAAGCATTCGCTTCAATTCTTCGAAGGCTATATCCCAATCATGTTGTAATAATTTCATAGCATTGTCATCCCAACGTGACGGATCAGTGGAAAAGGCTGAATTCTGCATATAAAATGGATGGACCGTTCCATTTAAATCCAAAGCTTTGATATCAAAATTACAAATATGAAAATAGACATTGGTCAAAACAACAACGACATGATCAAGAATGACATCGGGAAGAAAGCCTTGCATACGAACAATCACATTTTTGATACTAGCTGATAGACGAGGAGCAGTTCCGTTGATCACAATGATAACACACACAATGTCGTCCAAATTTTCGACAGACCGAACAATATTTTCTAAGTTTTTGTCATCTTGATCGACACCTCGTGTATCACTCAGTCCTGGTGTGTCCAAAAACAGATAAGACCTTCCTTTTCGGGCAAACTTGTATTCGTAGCAGGAATCAGTTTTCGATACGGTGACATCGCTAACATCCTTCTCATTGTGAGAGTATTTTTCTGTAGATTTACGATAGCGAGTTGGAATTGCTACCTTCAGATGTTTCAGCGATCCGTTGAGAAAGAAATTTGTCAAGTAATTGATAAACGTAGATTTTTCAGAACCTGTTTCACCAATTACTATCATTCGAGCAGTGGAAGTGGTGCATGAAGTAGACGACGACGAGGCATGCTTGTCATGTCCTGGTTTCTTCGTTAATTTTTTGAACATAGTCTATTAAAAGAGAAGAAACATTTAGTACAAGAGTCCTTCAAATATTAGTTTAGTACCTGAACTCGCTCGTATCAAATAAGTAGAACAAAGGAAAGAAGGTTTCGAGTACT